GGGTGTGTATATACAGTGCCAAGTCAATGAAGCTATCAGCTCTAAGAGGTCATTTGTCCAGAAACATTCACTATTCCGTCATCCCCGCTCTTCCCCCAGACACCTTCTCTCGCAAGCTCCTCTAGTTTCATCGACGAATTGAGTCTCCCAGCTTTACCCACTTCTCCGGTCCCTCGCATACAAGAGATTGAGAGAGCGAAGATGGGTTAGTTGACATGGCTCACCACGCTATGATCGGGTACTCATGTTACCACAGAAGATCATATGATGCCTCTGAGGAATGGCATGCATAGTAGTGAGCGCGACAAGCCTCGAGTTCTGGGTGGAGACCAACCGTAAGTCTCTATATTCGTAATGAGCGAAGGACATGAATCCAACCGTGAGAGCAGCCTTCACCAATTCCTTATCGAGCACGGTGCCCCGAAGATACTCACTAGCCCCAAATCTACGCCCTCTTCTCCGCATCGTCAGATCACGTCGTCCGTCGTCGGACAGCCCCCTACCACTATCCTTCCTGAACGTCCTCAACCGGGTGAAGATGACTCGGATGATGATGTCGAGCGCATGCTGACCTTGCATGGCGTGGTCGACGACGGGACCGAGATGATCTTGCGCGAACAACTTGGAGATAAGCAGTCTGAGATGATGGATGGTGAGCCATTTGGCAAGCTCTGATTGATGAGCTTACTTGATCTCTATTGAAGTGCCACTCCTGCCGGAGCCGAACGTGCACGCGAAGGCTGGGATCGTCCCGGCATCACTCGCTGAGTTAGTAGCTGCATCAGGTTCACGGGACTCTTTCAATGTGCTGCGACCGGTACAAGGAGTGAAGTCTCTCAATCTTGAATTATCTTGGAGGCAAAGCTTCACTTCATTGTTGAATCACGACGAAATTCTCACGACATACTAGGCCTTTCGACCACCAACAGAGAGCACCGACTCACGACGACCTTGCGCAAACGACCGGGCTTGAAGATCTGCTTCGCCCCGACTCAACTGGAGCTGTTGACCGACAGGCTATACGACGTATTTTGAGGCTAGCGATGCCTGACACTCCCGCCTCTTCTGAACAATGCTCGTTCAACCAACCCGATAACGAAATACTTGCGTCGCAGGTCTCTTTTGCTGAACTGAGTGGCATGCCTCCGGATATCATCATGACTAGGAGAGAGCGTCAAAGAGCCCTGGGAAAATCGGATGCACTGGGTGGCACTCCGGATCCAGACGCCCTGGCAGATGCTTCAAATTCGCAAGATACGTATTCGCCTCGCAAGCGTTCACGTACCGCCGCCGAGCTCGAGCAGTCAACGGTTCATCTCAAGCCCACTCTTGTTCTTGAGGATGCGGCGCCCGATCTCCCGTATCCTCACAACCTCGTGCCTGCTGCAGATGCCTTAAGTCACTACGCCCCCTCCTCAGAGGGCACCTCGGGCTCTCTGCCATTCATCGATGAGCTCGAGCCGATCTCGGCTGAAGCAAGTGATTTATGGTCCGGAGACAAAGAGGTGGACCACCACGAAACTGCCGAACATATGCATGAATCTCTCCAGGCGCAGTTCGGATATCCCGGGATCGCCTACTCCTCGTTGTCTTCCAACCTTCCAGACAGCTCCATTCCTAGTGTATCGACGCCGGAACCGGACATCTATGCGCCCTTCACTCGGGTCCCCAGACGACAGCCCGAGCGCCCGGGGGTTGCAACTCTCGCAGAGTTTTTAGGCATACGTGGGAAGCAAGTCGCTGATCGGGAGGCTAAGTTCAACAACTCCATGGCGCGGCCGGGTACCCTTTCGGACAATACCCTTCAGCAGCAGCCGGCATTCGCCGTACCCCCAGAGTTGATTAACAATCATACTCTCCTCCGTCCAGACGCCCTTCCGCATGTGGACACTGCTAATACCGCTCTCGCATCCCTCGACGTTCTAAAGAACAGGCGTCTCATACGTGCCTTGACTTCAAGCCGGCATCTCGTCGATCTTGCCGAGCGCGAAACGCTTGGAAGTGTGGACCTCATCCTCGGTTGTGATCTCGCGGTGGTGTTCTTCCCACTCTCACACCTACCATCAGCTGTCGACGACCTCAAGACTCGTCTTGATGAACTCTCGTGGCGATTTGACCACGTTCTCGTCATATTCGAGGCGTACACAACGTTCGGCTCGGCCACCGTCGTGACGAACGCATTCACGCCTCCCGTTCTCAAATCAGCCCGACGTCTACAGACGAAAGTTGCGGTTTCTGAAGCATATGAAACCAGGAGTCCTGGCTCGACCGTCAAGTTTGCCTATGCGGACTCTGTGGAAGCGACAGCAGATCTTGTGGCAGCGGTTGGATCTGGAGCTCTTGGGCCTATCTGGGGCGAAGGAAGCTCGCGAATCGCAGAGGAACAAGAGGTATGTGTATCGTCCAGATCGAGCACTACACTTACACTAAACCGGTCTCAGGATGAGGGGAGGCTTGCGCAAGCAGCCGGCATGAACGCCTTTGCAGCAGCCGTCATCATGTCTAAAGTGTCCCTTGGGGATTTCCTCGACATGGCACCGGAGGACAGGTTGGAAGGCTTTGGCCGACTCGTCGGAGAACGCCGTGTCAAGCGTTTGAACGCCTGGATTGCCGAACGAGAGGCCCAGGTTCAGACATCGTCTCAGTCCGACCCTAACTGATCTTGTACTCATCACTGTCTTGTTCATGTCGATCTCTTGATAGAAATAATATGCACCCGAGCACGCAGAGAACGACCGTTAGACGCCTGGCAGCCTGGGAAAGTACAGGTGTGTGGCACGACACGTGGCGCATCAGCACCTTTGACGCCGCTGTGCGGATTCGGCGCTACCACCACCATCACCCTTGCCACCGTCAATCATGACTCGCGACGCGACGTTCGATGTCACCGACCTGCGTGAGCATGGCGAGACTGGATCCTTTCGAGCCTTGCTGTATGCAGACCCTGAAGCTGCTTTCGCACGATTCGCCGCTCTCTACGCATCGCGGGATGTAGATCGTCCTGTCACCGAAAATGCGGCTCTGTGCGGCGCAGCAGACGTTATCAGCAAAGACGTCATGAGCGTCTGCTCGACTGGTATAGATGGGCGAGTGTCCTGGGAAGGAAACGCTGGGCACGTCCCGGACGGTTTCGGCAAGGATTTATGGGAGTCTATCATGTCGAGCGAACTGCCTCTGTTACTAGCTGGTATCGTGTCAGACCCAAGATTTTATGAGGAGAACGACGTGAAGCTTCATCACTTACTGCTTTTCTGGTGACTGACTTGTATTCCGAAGCGATGGATCTTCAGTATCCTCAATTGTTTGGCCGGCCTCCTCTGGTTTTGGTACGAGCGAGTCGACCCTGCCGTTCATGCTGGTACTCTGCAGAAGTCGCGTACCCAGAGGTTCATCGTCGCGAGTCTGCCGATGTGGGAAACACTCTGGAGGTGTCAAGATCAGCTTCTGTTTTCGACCATTGACGCCACCGGTACTAAGAGCATGACTCCGTGGCCATTCCAAATGTTATCAACGATGACTATTTGCATGAATGGAGTATATCGTGGATCGTAAGCGTGATTTGGTTCTCTCTATCTGCTCTACTGACCCGTGCTTTTCAGGAAACACTTTCGGGAGGCCATGCTGTCGAAGATGCCTCACGTCGTTCTGTTCGCGTGGTACCATCTACCAATATATGGCCCAGCCGACAACAAGGTCCTCGAAGTAGTCGCTGTTCACTGTATGGGATCTATGCACCTCGGTCCTCGCGATGGTACGAAGCCGGACTTGGTCCTCTTCCGAGAAGACTTTCTCCACGGCCCGGGAAAACCAATCTTGGTCCTGAAAAAGCTCATCCACTTGATTCAGACGGAAGACTGGATGATAGGCAATGAGCTAGGCATGGCGTTTTGCGTTTTAGCTAATCTGATATCGGCCGACTACGAACTCCTCGCGACGTATCACGGAACTCCGGCGATGGCGCTCCTGAATCAAGCCTTGAGGAGACACCGAAAGTTAGGCGATCGTGACGACGACTCGTGGGTGTGGTCGAATGCAGCGCGGAATGTTGAGTGCGTTCATCTACTTCGTGATGCATACGCCACCGTTCACACATGCTGTTCAGTGTGGTCGGCGAACATCTATTAAAGCAGCTCTGTCCTCCAAGGGCAGTGAGAGGTAAAGATGTCTTCTACATCTTTGCGCGCGGTATCAGTACCTTCTTGTATGAGCTTCAAAAGGACGAGCCGGAGAACATGGGTGGGTATATAGTTAGAACAGCCGTTCAGGCTCGTTGTTCCGTTGTACTGACGTTCTCATCCGGCAGAACAAAGCAAGATCGCGGTCAATACTTTCACCTTCTGGTGCAAAGCAGTCAATCTGGCCATCAAGGGTAGCGAGGGCGGCTTCCCTTCCTCGGTGGTGGAAGATCTCAAGGCGGCGGCTCCGACAAGATGGTACCCTACGATGAAGAAGCTGCGCGACGCTCATATCCCCGTGAAGAAACTGGTGACCTACAGGAAGCTCGTAGATAACTGGCAGATGCTCGGCAAGGATCTTGGAGTGGACGAGAAGGCGGAAGGTAAACGATACGAGAAGGATAAGAAGGACACCACAAAGCTTTGCTCGTGGAAGCAGTGCGAGTATCATACGTCTCCTGCATCAGATGATGTGGCGATCAAACAGTGCAAGGGCTGTGGGGAGGCTCGATACTGCTCCAGGGAGTGCCAGACGACGTGAGCTGCAGCCGCTATTTGGCTATCCACGCTCACTGATAATTACCTATCCTTGTAGGCACTGGAAGAAAGGTCATAAAGTCGATTGTCGCCGTCTTAAGGCGTAGATGCACAGCATTCATGAGCGAGCGTTCAAGACCGAGTTCGTGTCCTGTGGTCAGAGACATAGATAAACTGTTATTTCATCTACTAAGGCTGAAGAGCTTCAATACACTGTACACGGAAAGGGAAAGGGAGGTCGTGGGTATAATGGCAGTCTGGCTAGATTGACTTCAAGCGTGCTGCTTGGTTCACATCTCTCTCATTGAAGTCGTCTGCTCAGCTGGTACCAGAGTCGCCGGCGGCGTCCTTCTGGTGACATGTCACCGTTGTCGGGTCAGACCCAAAGCCACAGGAGACCGTAATGTCATGCTTAGTGATCGTGTGGCTGTATGCCGGGTTGACAATACGCATACCGGGGTGTGGACTATCGGCGGGCGTTATACCGTCGAGCCCCACGGTAGCCGTTGCAGTGCCATTCGTCGTGTTGACTGATCCGGCGCCGTCCGTTCCCAGGGTATCGTATGCGAACGTGGCAAACGCTGAGGTGAACTCCAGATCGTTGCTGTCACTGACAACGAGACCCGTGCCATTATTGTCCGTTCGTCCGAGATGCCAGGACGCGTCTTTGCTGCACAGCGCGGCGTCGAGTGGCTTTGCGAGAATACTGTGCGTGCAGTTGTTGACCATCAGACGGATCTCAGCTGCGTCGCTTGTGTCTACCATAAGATGAACGGTTTCATCGACGCGAAAGTCGTTGTCTGGGTCGCAACCATCAATGGTCTGGTTGAAACGTGTCTTTCCGGGGCTCGGGTAGCCAGCCCACCACGCTGAGTAAGGCCTGAGTACTAGTACATGTTCGATACCATGCGTACTCGACGCGCACCTTCATAGGCCATATCCTGGTCGTTGACACGGGTCATGTCAATACCTGCCATAAGGGCATCCGACAGGCAGCTATCACCGTCAATCTGCACCCACACAGACACGGAGTCGTTGTTGCCCCCGTCTGGCGTTCGGATCCATGGTAATCGCACTTCTCCATGTATCGAGAGCACCGATGCCTGAAGTAGTAAGGTTCGGTGCCAGGCTTCATTGCTTCATCAGCCATCTTAGACGTACATTCGCATTGGTCCAGCCGGCTCTCGCAGAGTAGTGATCGGTCATATCGTAGATCTGAGCATCGTCATCGCGGCGCCACAGGTTCGCAGGAGCATGTGGTAGGGCTTGCACGGCGATGGTGGCAAGCAAGATGCAAAGCAGTGTGTATGTAGGCAACATGGATGCAGGTGCTTGAGAAAATAGTGCGGAAGTCCGGGAAGGAGCGTATGATTAGGCCAGCTAGGGTGCAAAGAGCGAGGTGAGCGTTTGGAGATTGGACGAGATTCACCGTTGCTTTATAGCGTTGCGGGACCCAATATCGTCGGCCTTATCCTGACATCTGGATACGCCGATCAGTGGTCACAGCGTCGGGCTCGTCATTCGGGAACAATGACCGAGCGAGCTCTGATACGAGACTGTATACCTGTGCCACGACTTCGCGCTGCTCGGCCAGGCTTTGACAAGACGATGATCACGCATGCCCATTAGAGGTACAACGGACGGGAAATGATCTAATGTAAGAGATAAGCCCAGTATACAGGATGAACAGGAGCAGAAGAGAGAGATAGGAATAATGTACACTGCCAATACAAGTCCCAACAGAAGCCACGAACGCGGGACGACGAATCGACTCAACCCGCCGAGTTGCCCCCTCGGCCATTCCGTGCACCGCCGCCGCCTCCACCTGACTTGCGAGCCTTCGTGTTACGACTGCGTTGTCCGCCACGGCTCTTCTGTTGTTTACCCAGACACTCCTCGCAGATCCACTTGCCCTCGGGTGCGACGGTCAGGCCCACGCATACGAGATGGTACTGCGAAAGACCATTAGCCTGATGAACCAGAACAACGGATTCGAATGGCTCACCCATTCCTTGTCACAGTCATCGGCGTCACACGCGATCATATCGCCGTAGCTCTGCTGTTCGCAGATACAGTATATCCTTTCGTCCACCTCGGCGCTGTCGTCATTCTGCGCGGGCTCGGGTTGGGGTGTCGGTGGGGCGGCCACTCCTGGACCTGCGAGTACGCGTCCTTCGCTCCAGCCCACATTCTGTTGTAGTGATGGATGGGAAGCGCCGGGTGGCACAGGGGGCCGTGCGTTCGCTTTGGGCTTAGCGCCGTTATTGCGGGCGTTTCTTGGGGCGGTTGAGCTGCTGGTTGCAGGTTGTTGATGGGAGGTGACGGATAGGATGGATTCTGTGGGTGATGGGGCACGTTCGTTCCTACACGTAGAACGGAATATCAGTATAGAACTCAATCCAATATAATTGAAAACACTGACTTGCGTGAACGGTTCGCCGGTTTGCTCCTTGCCGGTGCGGGCTCAAGACGTGTCGTGCCTTTGCGCGGGGTGCTCGCGCCAGCCTGGTCGTCGTCGTCCTTCTGCCGCTTCCGCTTGTTGCTGCTCGCATTCCCACCGTCCGCGGCCGGGTTCGCGAGCAAGTTGCCGGTCCGCCTCCTCCGGCCGTTGCCGTCGTTGTAGTTGAGTGGCGGGTATGTGCGGTCCGAGATGTGCGGGTAGACGGTCTTCTGGCTGAGGGCGGCGGTGTCGAACGTGGGAATCTGGCTGAGCTCGAGGGCCATCTGTTCCCTGTGCGCCCGGAGCTGGTCCGCGGCCTGGCACGCGACCCGAATCTTGTCCTCGCCGCCCAGTTTTAGCCGCGCAGCGTCGTCCGCGATCTCGGCCAGCATCTTCTGCCGGTCTTTCACCAGTCGTCCACGTTCGTCGTCGTCGAGGCTGGCCGTGGGAGTGGCGAGCAGAAGCAAAAAAGCGTCGATCTTGGCGATGAGGAGCTGCACGGCAGAGGAGAGCACGGCGTCGAGCTCGCGCAGGTCCGCGAACTGCCGCGACAGGTCCGTCGGCAGCATGTCCAGCGTGTGCGTGTAGTCGTCCAGCAGCATCACTGAGTACGCCGTCTGCAGCGTCTCCGCCGTCGCTGCGTCCATCGCGCCTATGATGCTGTTCATCGTAGCGGCCGTCAAAGACGCGACCACAATGTTGTTCGCGCGTCACCCGCGTTCGCACGTGCGGTTGTAGGTCCATCATTACTTAAGGTGTATTTCCACTGTCACAGCCCCTCCGGGGCGCTACCGGGGCTCTATTCTTGCTTTGAGTCTGACAGAACGGTCTACGAACTTCTCA